GAGGAGATTGGATTTATACCCCGCCCTTCACTACCCAAAGGTGTCTCAGAGTGGCTTGCAAATTCCTTTCCTTTCCCCTCCCCACAACAGACACCCTGTGAGGTAGGCGGGGCTGAGAGAGCTCTTGACAGAAACTGCTCTTTTTCAAGAACAGCTCTTATCAGAACTACGGCTTGCCCAAGGTCATCCAGCCAGGTGCAAGTGGAGGAGTGGGGAATCAAACCCGGTTCTCCCAGATTAGAGTCCACGCACTTAACCACTACACCAAAAGGAAGAGAGGCGGAAAGGTCTTTCACATCACTTAAGAACATAAGAGAAGCCAATGCTGGATCAGGCCAATGGCCCATCCAGTCCCACACTCTGTCACAACGTAGCCAAAAATACCAGGTGCCCTCAGGCGGTCCAGCAGTGGGGCCGGGACACTAGAAGCCCTCCCACTGTGTTGCCCCCCCCCCAAGCACCAAGAATACAGGGTATCACTTGCCCCAGACCGAGAGTTCCTCTCTATACCTCGTGGCTAATAGCCACCGATGGACCTCTACTCCATATGTTTCTCCAATTCCCTCTTGAAGCCGTCTGTGCTTGCAGCTACTGCCACCTCCTGTGGCAGTGAATTCCATGTGTGAATCATTCTTTAGAGCACCCCTTGCCCCAGACTGAGAGCTCCTATCTACACCTTGTGGCTAATAGCCACTGATGGACCTCTGCTCCATATGCTTATCCACTTACTACCTATTTCGTTTAACCAGAGATGCCTCTGGTTTGTTCTGGGGACCATCTGCATGCCAAGTCAAGGCCTTACTTTTTTTAAAAAAAAGTTTAAAGATCCCAGCTGGCGGGAACATGTGCCTGAGACGCTGGTCTTGAACGAGGTATGAAGTGGTACCGCTCTGAAGAGCTGCTGGGGTGGGTGGGGGGAGATGAGGTGTGTGGTTAGGACACGGGTGGCATCGGGGGTCGGCACGGCTGGGCGCTCACAGAGGCCTACAGCCTGGCGGACGGACAGTTCTGACCGGAGAGGCGAGGACGATCGCCCAAGCTCCCCACTGGCTCCTGCAATCATGCAGATGCTCTCCTTTGTTCCCTGCAGCCCAGATGCTACTGAAAGGGACACCGGGAGCTGCAAACGGAGATGGGGGGAGAAGAAGAGATTGGATCTATACCCCATGGCCCTTCGCTACCCGAAGGAGTCTCAGAGTGGCTGACAAACTCCTTTCCCTTCCCCTCCCCACAACAGACACCCTCTGAGGTGGGGGGGGGCTGAGAGAGCTCTTTCGAGGACTGCCCTTGAGAGAACAGCTCTGAAGAAACTGTGACTGACCCAAGGCCACCCCAGCAGACTGCATGTGGAGTGGGGAATCAAACCCAGTTCTCCTGGATTAGAGTCCACACTTCTAACCATGACACCAAACTGGCTCTCAGAGGACAGAGCCAGTGGAGAGAGGCCACAATGAGGAAAGCCAAAGGAAGCTACAGTGGAACCTTCAGCCCAGAAATGGAACCACACTGGAACCCTAACCCTAAGACAAGCAAACCCTTCGGCCAACCCTGGGTTAGGTGGGGGTAAATCAAACGCCCTGCCCACAGTAGCCCACCACCTCCATCCAGCCCTAGCTGGCAGCAAAGGGGCATGAAGAGACATCCCGCAGATATGGAAGAAGGTGTCTCCCCCTCCCCCTGCTTTGCCTAGTGGCACCCACAGCCACACGGCATCTTTTGCGTTTCTCTTGACACTCACACTCTCCGTCCCTGGACGATATCGATGTAGTCCTCCGAGCGGGCGTAGTAGCCATCGGCACTCAAGGCGCCCCAGAAATTGGACCACAGCTTCCCCAGGCGGCCGACGAGGGGGGCGATCACAAACCTGGTGCACAGGGGGTTGGGGAGCACAGAGAAGAGAAGAAGTGGAACCCACTGAGCAGGTGGACACAGATCCCGAGGAGAACAGTTCAGTAACCCAGAAGGGGTGATGGCATGAGAACTGACCAGGAAACGATGGGACATTTTCCAATGTGGTGCTTTAAAAAAAACCCAAACACCTCAAATTCTGTGCCAAGAAAAACAGAATTCCATCACGTGTATGCAAAGCACATGTATTTGCATAATTTCCTCTCACTCTGCATCTTTTACTCTTTGTCTTCCTAGCCACCACAGGAGAGTTAAGGAAGCAGTTGGGGCGCTCAGTTTTCACCACTGGGCGTCTGATTTAGCCTGCACCTTTTGGGATATTCTCAGACACCTCCACACTTTTCCAAACGTACCTTTACAACCACGAAGGCAAGAAACTTGTCCCATTTTTTGAAGAAGAAGAAGGAGAGAGAAGAGATTGGATTTATACCCCGCCCTTCACTACCCGAAGGAGTCTCAGAGTGGCTCACAATCTCCTTTCCCTTCCCCTCCCCACAACAGACACCTGGTGAGGTAGGTGGGGCTGGGAGAGCTCTCCTGAGGACTGCCCTTGACAGAAGAGCTCTGAGAGAACTCGTGACTGACCCAAGGTCACACCAGCAGCTGTGTGTGGAGGAGGAGTGAGGAATCAAACCCAGTTCTCCCAGATTAGAGTCCGCACTCCTAACCACTACACCAACCTGGCTCTTTTTTTGCTCTTTCAATTAAAGTGTGAGATCTTTAGGAAACTTCATTTTATCCAGGGGTATCAGTGATACCCAGTTCTTTGAGCCCTTGTCAGACTCCGTGTCCCCAACTGGAAACAGCCAAGGAGATGTGCTTTTGCCCAGTTGGGGAAATGTCCATTTACCCATAATTACATGCCAGTTTTCCCGGCTCCCAGGACTGGTTCAGGTCTGGAAGAGGGTGCAGAGGGGAAGGCTCGAATCTGGTTTTCTCCTGGGCCCCGCTAAGCCCACCTTGGGAAGGAGAAGCCACACTCGGGAACTCACTTGTTCTGTTCTATCAGGATCCGCAGCGTGTCTGGGTTCTTGACCACCGTCTCAGCATCGATGCTGAAGTAATATTCACAAGCAGGATCCTGCCTGCACATATCTCTAGAGAAGGACAAAACAGGTCAAGACACGGATCACTCCCATGTCCTTGCAGAGCGGATACTCACAAGAGCCACCTTTAACCTGAGAGGAACATGGTATGTGCCATTTTCACAGCCCACCGGATGGATGGAGCAGACTAAAAATGAACTCTGGTGTACCCAGATAGCTAAGAGACTGAGCTGCGGAGTGTAAAGTCCCTAGTTCAAATCTGATCTCTGCCAAGAACTTACAAAGTGGCCTTAGATAAGACTCCCTGTTTCAGTTCCAGAAGTGCAAAAATAGTAATACAGCTCGCCCTGCATAAAGCTTACAACCAGGTAATGCATGCAAAACACTTGAACATTCTTAGAGCATGCTGTCTCTCTCAAAAATCTGTCACACAGACAGTTAATGAAAGCTTCTGAACCTCCCATGGATTTTTTTGGAGTGTCTCTAACACTGCTCTTGTTCAAAAGACTTAAGTGTGGTAAACAGGGGAGGTATTCCATATTAATTTACAAATGGCACGGTAGATAGCCTGTGGACATAATCCACAGCCAAGCCCCTGCAGTGTCAGTGGCTTCTAAACTGGTCTCTTTTAATTAGAAATTTCCATATGAATCTGCCTAAATTAGACCCGTGGTCCATCCAGCCTAGCACTGTCTACTCTGAGTAGCAGATAGATTAGGGTGGGTAGCCGCGTTGTTCTGAAGCAACAGAACAAAGTTTGAGCCCAGTGGCACCTTTAAGACCAACAAAGTTTAATACTGGGTATAAGCTTTTGTGTGTATGCACACTACTTCGGATCTCAAGAGTAGCACAGGTTCTCCCAGTGATTCAAAACCTGCTTTGGCTGGTGTTATCAGGACTGACCCTGGAAAGGTTTAAAGGTAAAGGTTCCCTTGCTCGAAAGCCAGTCGAGTCCGACTCTAGGGTTGCGGTGCTCATCTCCGTTTGAAAGCCGAAGAGCCAGCGCTGTCCAAAGACGTTTCCGTGGTCATGTGGCCGGCATGACTAAACACCAAGGCGCACGGAACGCTGTTACCTTCCCACCGAAGTGGTACCTATTTATCTACTTGCAATTTCTTGCTTTCGAACTGCTAGGTTGGCAGGACTGGAAAGGTTTACAACTGCCTTACACTGAATCAGAACATTAGTTCATCAAGCTCAGAACAGACAGGCAGAGAAAGATCTTTTCCAGCAGCCGCTACCAAAGATTCTTTTCGGTGGCCAAGCCAGGGACCTACTGTGTGCAAAACAGGAGCCCTTGAATATGCAAAGGCTATTCAAAAACACCAGTGAGGCGGCTTCCCAGGTTTTTTTTGCTCCTCTCTTGCCCACGAGCAAGTGTTTGATCACAGTTTCACTTTCTAGGGAAGAACCAGGGGGCTTACATGCCCATGTTCCGAGCGTCAGCATTCTCCACGTGATCACCTGGCCCGACCACTTTGACGGAGCGATATTCTTCTCCGTGGTCCTCCACAAACTCATCCACCTGGGAGAGGTGATGCTCCTCCTGTACACAAAGGGGAAGAAGTTCCGTTACGTCAGAGTCGTAGTGGTGCTTTCCGGCCAGCTTTACGGATGTCAATGAAAAGCTACGACCTGCTTCCACTCCAGGTTTTGCCTTTCCGGGAAACCCACCGTGAAAAAGCTTGAATCGTGCACAGCTCAGCAAGTCAAGTGAGTGTTGTGAGCACATGCAGCGTGGGCTTCTGCGACAGGTCGCCCCTCCCTAAGGGTGCAGTGACTCACGTGATTGTGAATGAACAACTGGATCCGTTTCTTCGGGTAGTGGAGCTTCTGAAGCCTTTGGAAGAACGGGGTGAGGAACGGGGTCGGCTGCTCGATGAAGATGCCGATCAGAACCAGCGGCAGCGCATCCTCCTGCAGTGGGGTCGAAAACAATCCCAAGTGATTCGGGTTCTGGGAACTTCAATTCTACAAGGAGCTTCAGGTTCTCTAGCCAATCTCCCCCCACCCCCCACCCCCGTCTTCACAAAACTACAAATTCCAGGCTTCTTTACGAGGGGGGGAAGAGAGAAACAAGAGAGCTCAGAGCTGGTTTGGACCACAAAGGCAAGTTTGCCTTTGAACCTTCAGCCGCCCACCCACGGCCCTGACTCAGTGATAGTTCTTACTTTGAGGGTGGAGAGACTCCTCAAGCCTTCGCGGCAAACCGTGCAACCTGTCTCAAAGGTCCATATTTGCGGGATGTAGTTTCCCAGGTAATTTAACTGCAACTTTGAGGAGACACAGAGAGAGAGAACGCTCAGATTCATGGAGCCAAATGGAAAACTCACCTTGCCTCGTATCTATGACTACGCCAATGAGCATACTTTCTCTGGGGAAAGAGAAGCTGAAAAGGTGGTTCAGGCCCAAATGGAAAGCAGGGATGCACTTGATGTCCTGGTGTGGCACACACTGCTCTGAGTGTCCTGGGTTTATTTACGGTGGGCAGGGGGAAGCTGAGGATACTGAGATGGCCCCCTGCTGTTGTAATGCCTTGGCCAGTTGTAGTTTGGTCCCTACAAGTCCTATAGGATCTCTGCGTCTTCTGTGCTTACATGATTGCAAGCACGGAATTCAGTAACAGGTCCAACAATGCAATGCAAATCAATATGTCTGAAATAATGTGCTTTAATAGCTGAGGGAAACGTCCGGGGAAGCTGCCGTACACCCAATAAAACCGTTGGTACGTCTAGCTAAGTACTGCTTGTTCAGTCTGGTAGCAGCTCTTCAGACTCTTGGGCAGAGATCTCTTTCAGCTTTTCGATCGGAGATCCCAGATGCCAGAGACGGAATATCTGTGGCTTTCAAAAACCGAAAAAAGGAGGGGGGGGAACTCAACCCAAGATATAACTGTGAACCCAAAGGGCTAAGCTAACACTGTATGTTATAAAAGTACAAATGTTTATTAAGGTGTACATATGTTAAAACATATTATGATTAAAAGAAAGAGTCTAAATATCAGACTTATAAAAACTTTTCAAATACAAATACACTTGACGGGTAAACAATTTCAAATTTAAGGACCAAATGCGTTTTGGCCCCTTTGGGCCTTCCTCAGTGGTCACTATTTTCTATATTGTACTGACACACATCCAAATACATGTATAAAAGGTTTTAAATATACATATATATATACATAACCAGAATACTTTGAAGAATTGGCATGGCTATATCTATGGCCCAACATATATACCGGTAACATAATTAGAAACATACAAGGAAACAACATCTGGTTTGGTCCTTAAATTTGAAATTGTTTACCCGTCAAGTGTATTTGTATTTGAAAAGTTTTTATAAGTTTGATATTTAGACTCTTTCTTTTAATCATAATATGTTTTAACATGTGTACACCTTAATAAACATTTGTACTTTTATATCTGTGGCTTTCTCCATGCAAAGCATCTTCTCGGCCTCTAAGCTCTATGACCCTTCCACACAGATCCAGCAGGGAAGCAGTGGAATGTCAGATCTGAACACCTTGAACCCCAGATATGCTACAAGCAGTGGAAATAAATTATGCAAAATAAGTAGATCTATTTGCATGACCACATAAAGATTGATTTTAACCATTGATTCAGGGCCAAGGATTCAGATTTCTCCAGTGCGTAAAGGTACTTAAGCTCTGCCTTGGATTCTGGAAGTGGGTGTGAGCCACCCAGCTGCAATTAAGAGAAACTTCTCCTTGGAGACTTTGTTTACCTTGGTGGGGCCGTTGCCATGAATCACGACGGGGAGGGTGTCAAATGCCAGGTTTCGTGCTCTCACTCGACCTTGTTCGAACTTCAGGACCACCTCATCTTTTAAAAGAAGGGGAGAGGGAGGGATCACATTCATTGCCATAGAAGGTAGATCAAGACTTAGTCTGTCTGTAGCAGTAGAGAAGAGCAACAGTCCAGGAGCACCTCCAAGACTCACAAAATTTGTGGCAGGGGAGGCGCTTTCCTGGCTCCCTTCTTCAGATAGATCAAGATGGGTGGCCAACTGTGTTAGTCTGTCCGTAGCAGTAGAAAAGAGCAAGAATCCAATAGCACCTTCGAGACTAACAAGATCTGTGGGGGGGTAGGAGCTTTTGTAAGTCACTGCTCACTTCCACAGAAGGGTGGCTAGAATATGTGGCTTTGAAAAGAAAGGACTGAGTCCACCGAGGATGCACACTAAGCATGATGTTTAGAAATGCAGAATCTATGTTTGGAAACATTATACCGCTCTTGGCCATCACAGCCAGGTGGATCCTCTGCACTTAAGAGGCAACATACCTCTGAACAGTGTTCCCTCCAAGCTGAGTGAGTGTGCTCTAGCTCACAGTTTTTTAGCCTCCAGCTCACACATTTTTGCCTTAGCTCAGGAAGGAGGGCTCCAGAGCAAACCAATTTATGCAGCAGCCAAATCGTTCGCTCACAGCTTTAATGCCAGGAGCTCACAAAGTAGAGTTTTTGCTCACAAGACTCCACAGCTAGGAGGGAGCACTGCCTCTGAGTGCAAGATGCGGTGGACAACCACACAGTGAAGGTCACTGCCTTCACAATCTCCTTTCCAAGAAAACCTTTGGAGCCAGTTTGGCGCAGTGGTTAAGTGCGCAGACTCTAATCTGGGAGAAGCGGGTTTGATTCCCCACTCCTCCTCCACTTGCACCGGCTGGATAACCTTGGGCAAGCCGTAGTTCTGATAAGAGCTGTTCTTGAAAAAAGAGCAGTTTCTGTCAAGAGCTCTCTCAGCCCCACCCACCTCACAGGGTGTCTGCTGGGGGGCGGGGAAGGGAAAGGAGTTTGTAAGCCACTCTGAGACTCCTTTGGGTACTGAAGGGCCATGGGGTATAAATCCAATCTCTTCTGTTCTTCTTCTTCTTTGTACTTCCCAAGGGCATGTGTTTGAAACAGGACGCTGGACCAGACAGACCCCCTGGTCTAACCCAGCAAAGCAGTTCTTATTTAGTGAGGGGGAAGAGGGAATCGATGTTTTGTTCTTGTCCAGGGCCAGCTCCAGATTTTGGCGAGCTCTGGGCTGGGGCAAAATTACTCCCGCTCTTCTGAACAGCATCTCCTTCAAGCACCCTTGTGGTTTGAAGGTGGAGGAGAGAGCCATGTTCGGCTTTACAATGTCACAGAGGCCTCTGGGGCAACCTGTCATTTCGGCCTGGGAAGAGCACACACAAAAGGAAGGAGCCGAGTGTCAGTTCTCCCACCCAATACACGCAAATAATACATGCAATCAATGCTCCCTCTAAGCTGTGGAGTCTTGTGAGCAGAACTTTTATTTTGTGAGCTCCTGGCATTAAAGTTGTGAGCAAGTGATTTGGTTACTGCATAAATTAGTTTGCTCTGGAGCCATCCTCCCTGAGCTGAGACAAAAATGTGTGAGCCAGAGGCTAAAAAACTGTGAGCTAGCTCACACTAACTCAGCTTAGAGGGAACACTGCATGCAATCAAATTTCCCCCAGATGGTTACTTTTAAGAATGCTTCAAGCTGTGCAGTCCAGGAGCTTGTCTCTAGGATTGCACCGCTCCAGGAAGCCTCCTTCTCAAAAAGCCAAATGCTTTGTTTTCCTATCGCAAACTTCTGATCGCACCAATCTCCTCCAGCATTGGCCCCGTTCCCATCATGCTGTATTCATGAGCCTCCCTTGAGGCATCTGGCTGGCCAGTCAGAAGAAGATAAGAAGAGAAGAGAACAGATTGGATTTATATCACACCCTTCACTCGGACTCTCAGAGTGGCTTACAAATCTCCATTCCCTTCCCCTCCCCAAAACAGACACCCCCTGTGAGGGAGGTGGGGGCAAGAGAGCTCTTTCAAGGTCTACTCTTGAGAGAACACCTCTGAGAGAACTTGTGACTGACCCAAGGTCACACCAGCAGCTGCATGTGGAGGAGTGGGGAATCAAACCCGGTTCTCCCAGATTAGAGTCCGTGCTCTCAACCACGACACCAAACTGGCTCTCCTTGATGGAACACAGAATAAGATGTACCACTGTCCCCCTGATTGGAGCCTTTTTGGACTCTAAATCACCCTTAAGCAACCACGGGGATGGAAGTTGGCAAGCAGGCACTTCCTCGTTTTGGTTGCAAGCATCTCTTTTCTGCCACCCATCCAAGTGAGACCCTGATTCTGCAAAGCACCCAGGTGCTTCCCATTTCCCTTCCCCTGACTGCCACAATTCAGAATCCTGCCAAAGCCTCAGGCACAGATCGTGGTTAGGACTTGCATCTACACCTCACCCTTCTTCCACACCCAGAGCATGATCCCTTCATTTAACCTGTGATGAGATCAGGGAGGCAAGGCAAGAAGGGGGGGGGGGAGTCCTTCAGCCTCTACTCTGCAAAACGGAGCAAGGAATGTCAGGCTGCGGGGGAAGGGGAAATTGCAAAGGATTCTGGACCTTTCCTGGACTCTCCCGTCTCTACGAAAAGGGTCCAGAATGTATCAGCTTAAGCACATCTCAAACCGCTGCTTCAAGGGCTCAGGTTCCAATCCCAGTTTCTTACCTAAAGCACCATTCAGGTTTTGGAAGATCCGACACTTATGATCTAAAGAGATATTGATGCTTCCCTGTTAGGGGGAAAAAAGAAAGAAAGAAAAAGGATTGCAAAAGGACCAAAAAGACTATCAGGTCTGACCTCCCTGCCCAGACGCAGGATTATTTACAGTGGCGATGTCCAGAAGGTCGATTGTGGGCCAGTGGCCATTTCCTGATGGTTGATCCAGTGCCTCATTTTCCACATTCATCCATTCTCACATTTACATCCAACTCTTCCCCCACAGGGCACATATGGATGGGGTCATCCCATTTTCCCAACCATGACAATCCAGAGGAGAGCTTTTCATAACTGAATACATATTCGACAGCATGAACCACATCTCACGTACACCCCAGCTCTCACTGCTCCGTGCTCACCCGCTTTTCTGGATCCAAGAAGACGGTGGTATAAAAGAGCTGGTCACTGTCGCTGTCTTGCCCCTGCCAGTCTGCCACGAGCTTGCTGAGATACGGAGCGTAGCCAATGAACCCTGCAGGAGGAGGGAGAAGGAAGGCCACGTGAGGTTTGCTGAGGCAGCCATTGTCAACTTTGTTAGTTGTTGCGGATTTTCCGGGTTGTGCGGCCGTGGTCTTGGCATTGCAGGACCTGCCGTTTCACCAGCAGCTGTAACTGGCATCCTCAGAGGTATAACACAGAAAGGTGGAGGACTCTCTGTGTCAAGGTGAGAAGAGGAAAATGGTGGGCAGGTAATTTATATCTACTAAGGAAGGTGGGGTAGGGCTGAGTCATTATCTTGTAGGAGCTCCCCAGGCTGTGACTAGGGGTGTGCAAAAAAAAAAAATATTCGGCCCGATTCGGATTTGGCCGAATTGAGCAGAATCAATTTCGGCTGACAGAAAGGGCCAGCCGAATGTCAATTTCAGCCCCATTATATCCTATGGGCCATTGAAGTCAGTGGCGAAAACATAGGGTATATTCTGGGGGCTTCAGGGAAGGGGTTTTGAGAGAGAGGCTCCAAACCCGCAGGGTAGCTGCTGGAGCCTCTCCCCAAGATACCCACCAAGTTTCAAGAAGATTGGTCCACGGGGTCCAATTCTATGGGCCCCCAAACAGGTTGCCCCCGTCCCCTCCATTGTTCTCTATGGTAGGAAAAAAATAACTTTTATGGGCCATTTTTGGGGGTGCATTTGGTTCAGACGAACCGAATGCACATCCCTAGCTGTGACATGCTAATGGAGGAGCTTTCCTGAGAAGGTTCTTTTGCATATGGATTGGCTGTTGAAATTCTAATCTTATCATTAGTGCTGCTGTAAGATGCAGAGCATTTTGTGTGTTTTTTTTCAACTTGTCAACTTTCATTTAAAAGGACAAGAAATGTGCATGGAGAAAAGCCCATGTCTGGTGCTGGGCTAACTGTGGCAGGCGTGGAAATCAGCAAGGTTCTTCATCAGGCAAAAGGGAACAGCAATTTTCTTTTTTAAAAAATCTACCAGGCCTCTTAAAAACTTTTGGCTTTAAAAAGCCCATCTCACTGTCTCTGCAGAAACAGACTTAGCTTGCTTTCTGAGATGAAGACTTCTATCTAACTGCAAATTTTGTGTATTTCTACAGGTCCAAGAAAATATGTTTCTTCAGCTTTTTTGGATTCCTGCAAGGTTGTGGCTGCAGAGTGAGGAACTGAACAGGGGTTTCTTATGGAGAATGAGGTGTCCTGTGCAGAATTTTCAAGGCTCTGCTTTCAAAAAGAACAAGATTCTTGACCAGTGTTCCCTCTGAGTGAGTGTGAGCCAGCTCACAGTTTTTTAGCCTCCGGCTCACACATTTTTGTCTTCGCTCAGGAAGGCTAGCCCCAGAGCAAACTAATTTATGCAGGAGCCAAATCGCTTGCTCAGAACTTTGATGCCAGCAGCTCACAAAGTTGAATTGTTGCTGACAAGACTCCACAGCTTAAAGGGAGCATGACCTCACAATGACAGAAATCCTCAAAATCCATTGGCATCTTCTGCAAAAATTGCCGAAATCAGAGAAGATCAGGATGGGGCTTCCAGAATCCAAGCACCCAAACTCGCTTTAAGTCCATTTCCTCTCTTTCTTCCTGACATTACCCTTTTATCTACATCACAGTTTAATAATGCCACACAGAGAAGAATTACACCCTTCTAAATCCATTGACTTCAGGAGACTGAGAAGGTTTAAACTCTGTATAGGATGGCAAAACAAGTCGCAACCTTCCTTTCTGAGCCTCCACGCCCAACGCTGATCTCCTGCTCACCTCCGGAACCCAGGAACCGCTTCCCATCTCGGACTTGCGGGTATTTGGCTTCCAGTTTTCGGTCAGGGTAGATGAGAGTCTCTGATGAAAAGACGACTTTGGACTTAGCCTGCCTGAACTTCTTTAACAGTTCCGCAGGGCCCGATGCGAAGATAACGTCATAACTACAATTAGAGGATGGGAAGGGGGCGAGGATTGATTCAGGTGGGAAAAGAACAAGAAATTTCCCCTGCTGAAGGAGGCAGAGAGTGGTTTAGCCAAACACACTGTCAGATCTCCTGCCTTCACTGGAATGCGGCACAAGAAGGTACAGGATCTTGGGTGGGAAGGAGGACACACACCTCCGTGACAAATGTGCCCCCCTGGGAGAGATTTAGAGGGTGGGTGGGTTTGTACAGGGCTTAACCAGAGTCTGAACACTTATTTGCAACACCAGGGAAAATACCTGCCAAG